TCCCTACACAGACCACTCTCTACCTCTGGAGGTTGTGGGCTCACCTGTACTTCAGCCTCTCTCTCTTGCCCAAGAGAGTAGGGAAACTTCCATTCATTCCCCAGTCCAACCGACTGTGGAGTGGCTGAATTTCTGCTGCTTCCCAGGGACGAAGACTGCCTTGGGACAGTCCCTGTTTTCCCGCATTTTTTGGCCTTGGTGCAGCTGGGAACTGTAGGCCAGCAGATGAGGAAGCCCCATTCAACCCAGTGAGTGATACCCCTGCAGGCCCCTCTCTGGAACTACAGCTCGATTAAACCTGATGGGGGAACATTTTAAACAAAGAACCACAGCCATCTGCAAGGCTCTCCCAAGGGCTGAAGAATGGTCAGCAGGCAAATGGCTGCGGCTGCTCCTCCGCTGATCTTCTCCTGACGGCCGAAAAAGCCTGGTCAGGCAAATGGCTGCTCAGCTGCTGAGGTAAACTGTTTGGATTTGAGTTTTGGCAGGAGCTGGTTTTGTGGGCGGGACTCAGGCACACCTTCTGATGGGCAGTTCAGGTAGCCAACTGATTTTGGCAAGCAGAGAATTTTGCCATGCGAAAATACATTTATATATAAGGACAGGTTGGTGTCACCTGATAACTTCTGCAGTGTAAAGGAACCATCAGCTTACATCACTTCTCATCGAACACTGATCTGTTTCCATAAAGTCCATTCTCACGTTCATCTGGAAGCAATTACATTCTTATTAAGCAAGTGATAAATATCTATGTGAAAACCCACTTAAAGAAACTAGTGGTAAGGAATATGAAGCAGGACAGCGTTCATTACTGGGATATAGGAAGGGACAAAACTTGCTGTCATACGGACATCATGTCAGCAGTGAGATAAGTATGTATCTACCAGAGTAGTAGTGTTAGGCTTCTCTCAAACTTGCAGTGGAATGACATTGTCGAATACTGAGAGGATAAAATACACCATGTCAGATTTCAGGTGGAACTGCCAGTTTTGAATGCTCTTTTACATTTTTTTAAAAAATATGAAAATAGAAAACCAGCACAGCAAACAAATCAGTAAGTCAGAACCTTTCTTCCCGATGTTCTAATTTTTTGTAGGGTAGACATGAAGTGAGCATTTAAAGGTGATATTTTTTCCCCACCTGTAGTCTGAAGGTCCATTCTCGGGGTTATTGTTCTTCATTCCCAGTACATTCTGCCTCATCTGTAGACCAGGCCTGTGCATGCTGTACCTAAAGTGAACTTTTAAAAGTCAGACTCAATTTTATTTGACATTCATATGTGTATGGATGAACACTATATCATATTAATGGTAATGAACAACAAAAAATGGCAGAGATAATTAAGTATACTTTCAGAGCTATTTGGATCTAAGCTGGCCAAAAGCCAAAATCCCAAATGCTGTTTAATGGAACATCCAAACAATGTCAGATGGTGTGAGTTGAAATGACAAAAAAGGGAAAAGGGGAAAAAACTGAACCGAAAACCTAGAATTCAGAACCTAAAAAGGTTAGTCAAGAATAGAAGAGGGCCAACTCAAGGGTCTGGCCTTTCCTTGAAATGACATAATATACTCCATAGAAAGAATTGTAACTCAGCCACTTCATATTTCATCCCTCCTGTGAGGTCTTATTCCCCCCCCCCCAGTCTTCCTATATACAATCAATGCCTGTAACAGTTATGTTCTCATCCAGTCTCTTAGGGTAGAACTACATGTTCTGTGGAGCTCATTTTTCCTTTTTCCAGCAGTCCACCCCCCATTAAAACTGTGAATGTCTTCAGGTTGGGTGCTGGGGGGGCAACAGTGGGAGGGCTTCTAGTGTCCTTGCCCCATTGGTGAACCTCCTGATGGCACCTGGTATTTTTGACCACTGTGTGACAGAGTGTTGGACTGGATGGGCCATTGGGCTGATCCAACATTGGCTTCTCTTATGTCCTTATGTTGTAACAATTATCTGGTAGAGAAAGAGAGTGGAGGGAGCTGTTTAATCCTTGCCTTTCCATCAATTTGTCTACTCAAAATCAACATACAGAGTGCTTGTCTCTCAAAGTGCCTGTTGGCAGGAGACTTTGAACACACTAACTTGCAGTTAAATACGCCCTTCCCCTCCCGGCCAGGACACTGTGAAACCTGAAGCCACCTATAACTATTTTACCATTGGAGAAAAGATATGTAGATCTACAAGCAATCCATAGTTCTGCCTTTATGCATCCAGTCTTCTATAATAATCTTTGCAGGATGGAGAAGTGTAATGTGATATGCTCTAGTAATTCTTCAATGTGTTTGTTTGGAATTCTCAGCATCTGTCTTGTCATTAACATATTCCATATGTTGCTCAAATAGGGTGCTTAGCTATAAAAATATCATAAATAGCAATACCAACCAAAATATATAGCAATATCCAGGCTCTTGGATTTTTTTTTTATTAATTTCAGTTTTGTATCATTCCCATAAAGCCCAATGCACTGTTTCAGCCCTCCACAGAAGTCTAAATTACACAAGTTTCTCTGCAAGTAGCATGCTTAATTGTTCTTTGCATGCTCTCCCCTCAACTACTACCATTTTCTACTCATTTAAT